CTCTTCAAATTCGGAGAGGTCATGCTGCACTGCCTGCCTCCAGACTGAACGCTCAGATGTCAAGGTTTCGCATCTTTCGAGGTCCATTCCTAAGGCCTTCAGATCCCGCTTACAGATATCCTTTTATCGCAGCTATCGTCTCCCTCTGGGGCGCTTTCCCTGCACTAATGGGAGCATTTGAATCAATGGAACCTATGAAGGAGCTGACTTGCCAAATCCCTTCTGATTCAATTGGCATGTTCTGCTATAACCTGACAGTTGACACACTAAGCAACAGACTTTGGTTGTTATAAATGTCTAAGCTCAGTCCTATACATAGATATACTTACCTATTGAACCCTGCAGGATACATCCACATTCCGCAGGAACTGACATGATCATTAGTGAGAGTTTTGTTGATTTACACTTCAATCTACCTAAATAAAAACAGAGCAAGTTTAAAATACAATAGGAAAATTCATTAAGAAATAGAAAACATTGGCACAAGCAAGATAGATTTAAGATAGGGTTAACACAGTAAAAATGAAGCTGGTGCCTTTTAATAATTAAAAAAACATGTAGAGCAGTGTTATACACTACATCAACATATTCTGATATATTCTGTACAGGAAAATTGCTTGTATATAAATGGAAGCAGATGCAAAATAAATGTTCTGTTATTGCCATTCAGAGATAGAAAAATTAACTGTATGGGGCCAACATTGAATGAAAAGCTTTTACGCTGTACCAAGCTTTACACTCTTAACAAAGATCAGATATACTTTTCAAAGGCTTAAATTTACGTCATCTATTATAAGAATACAGTTTGTAATTTGGAAATTGTCAAACTGTAAAAAGAACAAGAACAGGCCTCTGGACATGATAGATTAATTGCAGAACTTGGCAGAACTTTTGATGGAAAATTTTTAAGAAATATACAAAACAGAAGGAAATCATCTATTTCTTGAGCAGCGAACAAGATGGCCAAAATCCAACAGTCATTGTATTTCTGCTAGATCAATCTGATTCCACCACAGCTGGCAATCCTCTGCCTTCCCTTCTGCACCCATTTGGCACCATAAAAACCCATTCTAGTTGGGAAATTCTCTAAGGGAATTGATAATTTAAACCCCGTTGCAACAGTTCCATTGGCTGCTGACCCATTTTCGGGCACCATTCAAATCCAGGTTTCAACCTACATAAAGCCCTAAACAGCTTGGATCTCAAGGACCTTGTCTACCTTTATGAGCATGCCCGGGTATTGAAATAATCAGGGAGGCCTTTCTCTCAGTCTCACCACCTCCACAGGTACATTTGTTTGGGGACATGGGAGAGGGCCTTCTCTGTTGCCACACTCCAAACTCTGGAAAACTCTCTCACAGGAGGCCAGGGAGAGGGCCTTCTCTGTTGCCACACTCCAGACTCTGGAAAACCCTCTCACAGGAAGCCAGGTCTTTGCTGTTCTTCCATAAGCAGACAAAGACCCTTCTCTTCAGACAGGTTTTCCTTTAGGGACTGGCAGTCCGAGAGGGTTTTTTTTAAATGGAGTGTTGTGCCTTGTTGCTTTGAATGTGTTTCTGGTGTCGATTTTGTTTATCATTTTTACGGTTTTTTTTAAATGGAGTGTTGTGCCTTGCTTTGAATGTGTTTCTGGTGTCAATTTTGTTTACCATTTTTAAGTATGGTGTTAGATTCTTTTAAAATATTTGTATCTTTACTGTTTTCAGCTTTTAAACATTGACTTTTACTTATGTAAGCCACCTTGGGTCCTTTTTAAGGAGAAAGGGGGTTGTAAAAATATTTTAAACAAACAATCCTGGTGATTACACACAGTAAAGCTCAATGTGGGGAAGCCCATTGGGGAACTGAGCAGAAAAATGTCTTTTGTTGTTCTGCTGGCAGGGGCAGTTTAAATGTTTTCCAAAAAGGTTGACATTGCTTTTGCCTGTTTTCTGCCCAGTGTGATTGCTCAATCTGATATAAAGGGGCACTTGTGGGGGTCTGTAAATTCCCTCAACTGTGCACCTCCTGTTTCCAAACAGTTTTTTTAAAAAAGGTTTCAACTCAGGATGGAACGCAGTACTGTATCACTAGGGCACTTTGGAAAACTAAATAAACAGATAAAGAGAAATTGCCAATTAGCATCTTGTTAACACCTCAAGGCAACTTCTGCTGTTGTAGCTCTCTGCAAACTGAGCTCTCTGCCTTTGCTCTTGCTGACTTGTGCAAACTGTCATCTGGTTGGATACAACAATTTTACCCATGAAAATTCAATGTGATCAAGGAACAGGGACTCCTGGTGTGGTGTCCCCTACCTTATGGAATTCTGCCTTGCATGATATATGTAGTTGTCTTCTTTCCAATGGTTGTGAAAACCTAACATGGATTTTTATTTATGACTTATATTGCCATTCTGAAAATAGTTTTATACATTACTGCATTATATCATTACACTTTTCTGGGATTTTGCATTAAACTTTCAATATACATTCCAATCCTCAAGAAAGGAGATGCCAAGGAATGCAGCAAGTATAGGACCATTGCTCTGATTTCTCAAGCAAGCAAAGTGATGCTTGAGGTGCTGCAACAAAAGATTTTACCTTATGAGAAACAAGAAATGCCACTGGATTCTGAAAAGGAAGAGGTTCTTGAGATCATATTGCAAATATCCACTGACTACTGGAGCATACCAAAGAATTTCAGAATATCAGTCTGTGCTTTGTCGACTACAGCAAAGTCTTTGTGTGGATCATAAGAAAGCATGGGTTGTTCTGAAATAAGTTGATTTGTCTTAGCACTTTATTATCCTGATGCATAATCTGTACAGTATTGTGGACAAGAAGCTACTATTAAGACAGAAAGTGGAGAGAGAATAGTTTCCTATAGGCAAAGGTGTCACACAAGGATGCATTTTATCCCATTGTTTATTATATCTGTATGCAGAACATATCATATGGAAAACCAGACTAGATTCAGATGAAGGAGGAGTGAAAATTGGTGGAATGAAAATTGGTGGAAAAAACATCAGTAATTTAAGATATGCAGATGATAGCATACTGCTGGCAGAAAGCAGCAATAAATTGAAACTACTGTTAGGGAAAGTGAAAGAAGAAAGTGCCAAAGCAGGACTGCAGTTGAACCTTAAGAAGACAAGTATGAGGATGTGTCATTGGAGACAAAGACCAAGATCACCTATACTTTTGTATTTGTGGTCACCATGTACAGTTGTGAAAACTGGATAGTAAAGAAGATTGATAGGAGGAAAAAATGATTTATTTTAAATATGGCGCTGGAGGAGAAAGTGTGGACTGCCAGAAAGACAAACAATTGGCACATCATGAGAAGGCAAGTTTCTCTGGGAAATACAATAATGCTGGGAAAGATTGGAAGGCAGCAGGAAAAGAGGAAGACCAAATATGAGATGGATCCATTCCCTAAAGGAAGTCACAGGCTTGAGTTTACAAGAGCTGAGCAGGGCTGTTTGAAGATGAAAGTTTACAAGAGCTGAGCAGGGCTGTTGGAAGATGAGACATTTTGGAGATTGCTAATTCCTAGAGTTGCCATAAATTGGAGGCAATTTGACAGCATGTAACAACATAGTGCCTTGTATTTTTATATTTGTTTTGTTTACTGCCTTAAGAGGAAATAGTTCAGAAATATTTAAATACATTAATGAACCACTTCTTAAGTTACACTGGACCAAAGCTTAAACAAACATCTTGAACAGCTCTTACTGACCAACAGTAAGAATTCACTTGTCACTCTCTTGACTGTCGATGACCATTAACGACTAAATTGGTATCACCATAACCAGCCGTTTTGTATTTCCATTGCACTTCGTATTCATACCCTCCCTATCAATGTATAAAAATCAGTCTACTGATCCTAAATTCTGAAAATCTAAAGAGGTAAGACTCAAGTCTTATCAAATCTTATCCCAAATAATTTGTTGCTTTTAAGATCCCACAAGACTCCTTGATGCTGTACTAATGTCAGTGCAACCTACAAGTTCAATAGCTTCTCTCTTTGTTACCGCAACGCACTGTGGTCTCATGTTAAGCATTGCTTTTACTTCATCTATTTGTTATTCTGAATTAAGTAAAACCATACATGTTGTGGAAATGTGTTCCAAATAAGACATCTACTTCTAGGCAACATTGGAAGATAGCAACCCGTGCCTGGTGTTGGTGCAACAGCAGCCCAGTCAACTGCTCTGTGGGAGGAAATCAAAAGCGGAGTGAGGGGAACTAGAGATAGCAGAATACTGTACAACCCTTTTCGGTTTACCTCAGAGCAACTCTAAGTACTTCTCCCCTCTTCCGCGGTTTTAAAAGCTAGTAATTACCCGTGTGAGGAAGGTACTCCTTTATTATTGAGTTTGCTTGGTTTTTTTTTTTAAAAAAGTCCTGTGTTTTAACTGCCTTTCAACACGCCCCTTTTCTATCTATCTTTCTCTCCACTTGTTGGTTTATTTTATTTATTTTTATTTTTGAGCGGGAAATGGGTTGACACCATCCAACCGTCTTTTGCCTATCACCGGGTGAACAACCTCATTTCCCCATTTCTCATTGGGTACGAGACCGCGCGTCCAATCACGTGCCGGGAGCCTGTCTGTGAATTAGGAAGCCGGCAAGGCGAAAGAGTGGAGAAGATACGATTGGACGTCGGAGCCAACTCGCGTATTAGGTGGAGAATCGGGCGAAGGAGATGCGACAGATTGAGTTTGCGATTGGCTCTTGTGTATCAGGAGTGACCATCATAATCACCAATTAACGTGCACAGTTTAGGGGGTGGGAAGAAGTAAGTTTCTGGCGCGGTGGCTATTGGTTGTCCTAAATTCCAATACCCTCGTGGTTACCCTCCTGGACACTTGGGAAAGATAAGGCTAGGTGGGAAGAATTGCTTATTCTCATTGGTTGCGTTGCGATTAATGCTGTCCAATTGCGTGAAGGCATGGGCAGGGGGGCGGGAAGGAGAACCCCTACGAGGCCCTTCCTTACCTATTCCCCCTCCCCCTCGCTGTCAGGCTTGGTAACGGCCGCTGTGGGTTTATTCCCTCCCCCTCCCCTCAGATTAAGCGTCGACTCCCCCGGTCATGGCGGGGGACCTACGACGCCCCTCCATGGCCCTTGGTTTCTCTTGAAGAGAGGGAGTGAGAGGCACATTTAGACCTGTGTAGGGAAGGGGATGGAGGTGAGAGGGTGAAGATGAGGGGAATCTAGCGGCGGAGTAAAAGGAAGAACGGCCGGGGTAGTAAACTGATAGGAAAAACGTTGGGTGGAAAGGCGTCAGCACAACCTTTAGAAGTACCTGAGGGGGAAACCCACTGGGCAGAGACACAAAAGTTGAGTAGGAAGAGGGGTATGAATTAGAAATGTGCTGGAAATAAGGAGAGGTCGAAAGGAAAAGGAACAAGGCTGTTTTTGAGGGTGGTTACTTAAGAGTAGCAAGTGGAGTAAAACAGCTGTTCCGAAGTGTGTGGGAGCTTTAAAGACCATAAGAGAAGGAAAAGAAACAGTACATGAGAGATAGGGAAGAGGGGTGGGCCAAGAGCTGTGAAGTCTAAACGGGTATGCAGGGTGAGGTGAAGATGTGAAATTAGGAAAAGTAATAACTAAGCAAATTATTATGTAGTTCAAATTGTCCTTAGTTGTGTCGAACCAGCTATTCATCTTGCCATGCTTTTCCATACCCATCTAGCACTTCTGAGTGGATCTTACCCTTTGAGAGAAACATTTGGTTTACAAGGCATTGGATTATAATACAGAATTGGTATATTTAGAGATATAAATTTTTGAAAAAAGGCTGAATTTTTAAACAAATCTGCTAACTGTTGCTTCAGCAGCTGCAAGTCCATACTCTCAGAATCCATACAAAACTGAGCACCATTTGTCCACAGTTTAAAAAAATACAAAGGTCATCTGTACAATTTCTTATCCTTTATCTATGTTAGTGTGGAATAGATTGAAATTGGTTTTCTTTAAGAGACTGGCTCCTAAACTTTGAATACTGTATTAACATGTTAACACTTGGCATACTGAAATGTATAGACTTTGCCTGCTGGGCAACTCTTAAAAGGATACCATTGTTGAAGCAAATAATGTACACATAAGTTAATTGTTTGTCTTTCTACTTTCACTGTTTTGTCTCAGCCTAAAGTAACTTTCAGAGGCACCAATCGCCTTCTGAATAGTGCAGAGCCCAATGGAAGATTGACGGATGTGTTCAATAACGTTATGACAGGTTGCAGCTCCTTCTATGATTGCTACAAATTGCAGGTTCAGTGTTTTTTTTTTAAATTAGAAATAATTTTCCATCAAAATGCACTAGAGAGTAAGAGCAAGTAAAGAGTGTATGACAGCAACATGGTATATTGACTTTGTAATAAACACTGTACTTGAAATGCAGCTTCAGTTGTCCTCATATGATTCCTATACAGTATTTGATAATGGGTTATCTTCAGGTTTAATAATATGTGAAGTGCACATATTGAAACCAAAGAAGTTTAAGTTAATTACTGATTTTGGTATGTGTGCGCTATATAGTAGTACCTCGGTTTATGTGCGCCTTGGTTTACAAGCCAAAATCCATAAGAAATAATACCTCAGTTTACGTTTTTTACGGATTTTTTTCGCTGTACAAAAAGGATGCATCGTACCTGGAGGTTTTTAGTGCCGCCCCCCGTTGCTACAGCAATCCACATTCCAGTTTATGTAATTTCCGCATGCATTACATAATGTCCCAGATGACAGATTAATTTCATAAACCGAGGTACTACTGTACATGGTTAAGTATTCTGCAACCCAAGATAGTATCTAGAGCAACCTTTCCTTAGTTTGTGCTCTCTAGAATCATTATGGCATGCCAGGTTCGGAAAACCAGGTCTAAAGTAAGTATTGCACTTCAGGTGTGTTAATGCAATTATTGCACTGAGTCTATTTTTGCTGTCCTTTCCTGCCATTTCTTATTTGATAATATCTTAGAAATCAATAGTCTGTATACAGTCTATTGACACATCCAGAAGACCTAGGAAGGAACAAATCCAGATGAAATACCTTTCCTCTGTGTTGCAACTTTTCTTTTGTTCTGATGTGCTGCTGCTCAATTCCTCAGAGCTTTCATACTTGATAGGTACGAACCAAATTAGATGTAAAGGTTCAGTAGGTTTTTAACAGCAAAGGTGAATAAGCATGTTTGCATGCTTCTTTTTGTGTCAGGGTGGTGTAGATGGCTTTTCAGGATGATCTCCTGTTCGGATAATGCTGAGGCCCATGCCTTCTTTTCAGACATCAAAAATAGTTTGGTTAATAGCCCTTTTATTCCTTGATTTTGACATTTGTAAAATGTATTTTTACTATATGTAGCCTATTGCTGATGTACTACATCAGTTATTTAATTTTTTTTCCTTTGCCTTGCCTTAAAGGGCTAATCAAGAAACCACCCACAATTGATTCCGTGATGGTGGCTTCAGCTGCAGACAGTTTCTGGACTGTCTCTTTTGGAGAAGGCAAATAATTTTTTTGACCAATTTAAAAAAATTATCTTGGTTAGATAATTCTAATCAAGCCTGACTGTTCCCAAGTGGCTCACCCTAGCTTGTTCTTTGCTGCTAGTTTAGCTTTACCCTCAAATTGCAAAGGCACCTAAAAATTGGTATTGTACTTACATATCAACTTGGAAAAAGTGTCATGTCCATGTTTTAAATAACAGTTTAAATGGCTTTAAACACCTTGTTCATTAGAAACATTGCATAAGTGCTTAGATATATAGCTGCCTTGGGTTCTTTTTAATGAGAAGAATGGGATAAAAATATTTTAGATAAATATATGAATGGAAACCCAAGAAAATGGAAAAGTTACTTCAACAATTTCAAACATTATTTGAAGCATTTCGGTCTTCACCTTTAGCACATACATTGCAATACAGTGGGGTCTTGACTTAAGAACGGCTTGAGTTAAGAACATTTTGACTTAAGAACCGCTCTCATAGGAAAATATTGACTTAAGTACTTAGATTTGAGTTAAGAACTGAAAAAAACCCACGTGGGAGGCAGGGAAAGTGCAAAAAGTGAACTTTCAGTTAACTGTTGGCCAGTGAAAAGGGTGCCTCTCTGCTTCCTCACTCCTCCCAGAGTTTAGAGAGTGGATTGGGAGACAGTCTTCAGACTGCCTGGGACTGTAATGCCTGGACTGTATTTTCCCTGCCTTCCCTGAACCGTTCTTGACCTAAGAAAAAAAGAAACAAAATATCTCCCTCTAGTGGTCGAAGGCGGAATAGCAGCTTCCCATTAGTTTCTATGGACGGAAAAGAGCAGATACGGATTAAATGGTTTTTAATGCATTCCTATGGGAAATGCAGATTTGACTTGAGAACTTTTTGACTTGAGAACCACCTTCCAATACGGATTAAGTTCTCAAGTCAAGACCCCACTGTACTTGAATGCAACTCTCATCAACATTGCCTGGTATAGTCTCTGATGAGGTGTTGTGGAAGTGCAACAGCTCCATGGAGACCCACATATTCCCCATCCTTCTTTGAGCCAAAAAGCTTCTGAAACAGTTTACAAAGCTGAGTAATAAGACAGTGCCTGTCCATGGGCTTACGATCTAGAAAACATGACAGATGAAGAAAAGAGAATTGACTACCAGTTGGGAAAAGCTCGCAGGTACTAGTTCGTAGTTACAGTTCTGAGCATTTCCAAATGGGATGAAATTATAGTGATGAAATGGTTGTTGCTACATCACACTTTTGGAGGACAAGTATCTTGGTTCTAATGGTTGTGGGGTTTTTGTGTTCTTTGGCCGTGTTCAGAACACGGCTAAAGAACCCGAAAAACCCACAACAACCATTAGATCCCGGCCGTGAAAGCCATCTCGAATACATATCTTGGTTCTAATTTTTCAGCAATCTTTCTCCAGTATCAAAGTGTACTTATATGCTTATTTTTGGAAAAATGCGACACTTCATATATGATAAGCACAAGAGCAGTAGAAGTCTGTGCAAAGTTTATTGTACTCATGGAGAAAGAAAGAATTGTGTATAAACATACATTCAAGGTTATATTTGTAATACGGCATGCAGTGTTGGACACATTCCATTGTTAAATGTGTTTTGTTGTACCATGGACTGCAGATGTGTGGTAAACAACATGCTCACAGAATTAAAATCATATAATGTACATATAACTTTTAGTTTTAGAAAATTAATATGATGCCTGAATAATGTATGAAATCCAAATAGAACCATCTGTAGACCAAAGTACTGTATAGTAGGCTTTAGCTCCACAAATTCAAATCTTCATTAATATGCTAAATTCTGCTGTGTTGTAATCAGGATCACCAATAGACAGTCTTTAACTTTCAGAATTAATTCCCTACAGTTAATTTGAAAACAAATTAGATTTTTACCACTATGTCCTTATTTTAATAGCAACTGGAAATTAGAAGATGCTGGATTATTACACTTGGAATTGGTGAGGGAATAAATACTCTCGTTTTAAAGCAAGAGTTCAGTATACTTGAAACGGATACCAGATGTCTTTTGTGTAACATGTTAGCTTAATTCTCAAAAGTAATACGGCATGCAGTGTTGGACACATTCCATTGTTAAATGTGTTTTGTTGTACCATGGACTGCAGATATGTGGTAAACAACATGCTCACAGAATTAAAATCATATAATGTACATTTAACTTTTAGTTTTAAAGAGTTAATATGATGCCTGAATAATGTATGAAATCCAAATAGAACCATCTGTAGACCAAAGTACTGTATAGTAGGCTTTAGCTCCACAAATTCAAATCTTCATTAATATGCTAAATTCTGCTATGTTGTAATCAGGATCACCAATAGACAGTCTTTAACTTTCAGAATTAATTCCCTACAGTTAATTTGAAAACAAATTAGATTTTTACCACTATGTCCTTATTTTAATAGCAACTGGAAATTAGAAGATGCTGGATTATATCTTCATTAATATGCTAAATTCTGCTATGTTGTAATCAGGATAACCAATAGACAGTCTTTAACTTTCAGAATTAATTCCCTACAGTTAATTTGAAAACAAATTAGATTTTACCACTATATCATTATTTTAATAGCAACTGGAAATTAGAAGATGCTGGATTATTACACTTGGAATTGGTGAGGGAATAAATAATCTCAAGGTTTTAAAGCAAGAGTTCAGTGTACTTGAAACGGATACCAGATGTCTTTCTTGTAACACGTTAGCTTAATTCTCAAAAGTAAAAAACGATCTGATTATCTGAGTCAAATTGTTTGCCTTCCCATAGTGTGTGCAATGTCTTATTTTTAGCAGACATGGAGAACTATCCAGTTATATGTCACATCAGACAGCTGAACTTGGTGACCTATTTACCCTTTATAGCCCATGTACTGTATTTCAGTTTAACAAACTTGATATGGCATTTCTGCAAGGAAATAGCATACTTTTTTAAATATTTCTTTTTGCATTTAAAATACAGAATGAAGAGAATGTAGACTTACGGAAAACATACAATACTTCACTGTCTCCAGCTTCTGAATGTTCAAATAGTGTTGACTCTTCTCTTTTCTATGTCCCATGGTCTACATATGCAGATGATGTTAAACAACCCCCTACTTCTCAGATTAGCATAAAGAACAGGTACATGATTTAACTATTAAATGAACAGAAAGAAAAAACTATATGGTAAATTGTTTGATTTCACCTTGTAGTTAATAATCTCTATACCGCTCTGTCTGCAGAATCGAAAGCTACAGTTTTCTTTAACGAAAACTGTCCAAAGATAAGGGTTCAAGAAATTTGGAGGTTTAGATTGTTTTTCTGTATCTGGAAAAAAAAACTGAGCTTAACTGATGCTCAGAAAACTCGTGTGTGGCTCTCCTTCATAAGGATCCTCTCCCATTTTTTCCCTTTTCGTTGACAACAGAGAAATAAGACAAGAAAATTTTTTTCCATAACATTTCCCAGTCCTTCCTACTTCCATCACTTGCTCTGATGTATAGCATCTGCAGTACTTTCAAGAACTCTTGCAATTACAAGAAGTATTGAGAACTATAATTGCTGTCCAGAATCCTATAGGTGTTTATGTAAGGATTGCATAATGTGGTATGGTTAACTGATGAGGTTCTAGGGGGCAACTGAGTTGCACAATTGGTTGCATGAATAGGTGCATGACCAAGATGCAACCTGACACCTTGCCAGTTAGTGACAATTAGCTCTGGCAACTTACACAAACAATAATAGGATTCTGGTCACTGACTGCTATAGTCTATTATGCATCCTTGTTCCATTAATCTAAGGGTGCAACTACACAGATGGGAATATACGTGTTGATCTGCTACAATGTGCACATGTTGAAATAGGGTTTTCCTGAGTGAAATTGCTATAACTGTCCAGATGATACAGTGTGAAGTCAGCAGGAGCAGAGGCAGGCAGTTTGATTTGCATTGACTTTCAACAGCAGAAGCTGCCTTAAAGTGGGAACTAGTGGTACTGTACTTGGCAATTTCCACTTCTTTCTTATTGTTCTCTTGAGTACCCTAATGAAAAGTAGTTCCACCACAAAACCCTTTTTTTTTTAATTTTAAAAAATGGTTTGGAGATGTGGGTCATTTGGTTGAGGGAAACTGTCATCCTCCCAAGCATCTCTTTTCATTGGATCAGGTGATCACACTGGCAGAAAGGGAACAAAAGCCATGCCAAATGAATTGCAACAATGAAACTACTCCAGCCAGCTTAATTAAAAACAAAAAAATATGTTTCCCTGATCAAAACAGACAATTCCACAGCAGGTTTGCCTGCATTGAACTTTACTCCATGTAGTCACCAGGCTTTTATTTGAATTCATCTATGCCAATCTGACATAAATTGCATGGTAAATAACTGATGTAGTTACACCCTAAGACCAGAGGAGTTGGGGTAGAATGAAATGAAAAAACATTTCTCATTGCTTTATATTTCTGGTTCCATACTGATAAAGGAAGTGGGCAAGATTGTTTTAAGGATTATAGAGGAAAGACTTTATGGGGGTTAGGTGGCAGATGTTTATGCAGCTAGTTGAGGTGGAGCTTTGTGAAGCTCATACATCTCTTTAGGGTGCAATTTCCACAATCCTGCATTTCATTTTCAGGGAAATTTAAGTGGCATTGCTGCTTATAACTAGAAGGAGGTTAATGTGTATAGGTCATGAGGCTTAATGCCAAATGTTTAATTTAGATTTTTTTTCAAGCTTCTGAATCTAAATTTTTTTGTGTACTTGTTACTGATTTTTGAAGTCCTAATGTCTGGAGGACATCATATTGAGGAAGGCTGGTTTAAATTTTATTTAACTATTTGCAGTCAAATGTGAGATGCACTAGGCCATGATTGCCTTCAGAAGAAGCTTGTGGGAAATAATGTTTTAGTCTATGGGATTTATTCATAATGTTTGCACGTAATAGATGGGCTTATGTTCCAGAGGTCCATATCCACTGTTTTTAACTTTCAGGATCTCATATGTTTTCAAACACCCAGTAAACAAGTGAAATATTTGTGGAACAAATTGTGGTTCCAGGATCTGTTGTTATATCTTGTGTGAAAATGATATAGTCAGAAAGACTAGAAAGTAAACGTCAGTATATTCTTAGTAAGAATTTACTCCATTTTGTTTGTCCTTAGAATTCAAACAGAAAGAAATGACTATGGCAGTGAAACAGACTTATATGGACTTGTGTCTAACATTTTGGAAGAACAAGAAAAATCACAGACATATTTTGCTGAAGGGTTAGTATGTTACTGAACATAGGATAGTGATCTAAAGCAAACATGCACATGGACAGCGTCACAGCGCATATACTATATATAACCTTTTTTCTATTGCTCTTGTTCTATTAAGGTAGAGGTGAGGAATCTTTGGACTTTTGGATGTTTATCAGTTCTGTCAAACGCAGCCCACTGATACTACATTCTGGGAGTGGTAATACAAAACATCTAGAGCAGTGGTTCACAAACTTTTTGAACTTGCAGCTCCCTTGACTCACTGGCCAGTGGCCATGGCTCCCCAGTATGGTAGAACTGCCATATGTACGGGATCAGTGCCTGTGATTTCACTTATCCACTGCTTGAAAAAAATAAAAGAAAAATAATAATTAAAAAACCCCAAGGTGTATTACTAGAACTGGCCACTAGCTGGAACCAGAGACAGCTATATTCATTACGGCAGAGGTCCCCAACTCCCGGTCCACAGTCACAGGACCGGGCCGCATGCACTCCTCCCACGCACACCCACATGCACACATGGCCTGCACACACGGGTGCCCCGCCCCATCCACAAGTGTGCACGAGCATGCCTCGCTCACCTGTGCATACACGCGAGCGCATGTGTGCCACAGACCCCATCCCTCCAACTGGTCTGTGGTTCGGAAAAGATTGGGGACCACTGCATTACGGGAAACACCCTCATGGCCAGCTTTGGGAAAAAAGAAGCTGCATTTTTTTGTGGGGAGCAGGAGCACGGAAAGTTCCCTTTCGAACAGGAGGGCAGGAAACCCAATCCTTCAGCAAGATTGGGCCAGGGTTCCTTCTCTGCACCACACTGGAACATCAGAAAAAGTGATGTAGTATACTGCAGATGAGTGGGGAAGGAGGAAAGGATTCCCTGACGTCCCCAGGTTGGTTTCACAGTGCCCCACGGAGCCACAGCACACAGTTTGGGAACCACTGATCTAGAAGATCAAACATTCCCCACTACACAATGCCCCACTACACATCTGCAGTGGTTGACCTATTCAGTTTTTGCTTCTCTTACCACAAAGAAAGTGTTTTACAGCATATTAACCTGCAAATTAATTTTTCATACTTTTGGCATGGACTTTAAACATTGTATTACACATCATTCAGAAGTTTATATACATTATCACCATCTATATTATTATCAGAAATGTGCCAACTATATATGGCCCTTCCCTTGTGTGGTTGGAACTACAGTAGTTTAAGAAATTTCTAATCTAAATGACAGCAATAGCTCTGATAGCTTATTAGCAGTAGAAGATAAAAAATGTAAAATAAGATCAAAGCCTATTAAGGAAATGTACAAATGTTTGTGTTTTATTGTAGGTCATGCTCCTCCAATTTAAAATCTGTGTGGCCTGTCAATACAGCCAGATTTATAGAACAGCCTGATTTGATGTCAGAAGCTAAGAGGCCAATAGATGGAGCCATCCCTCAGCAAGCTTTTTATGGCGGAGAAACAATGCCAGTGCCTGAAAAGCAATATTTGCCCACAAGTGCTGTAACTTTGCAACATAAAGTGGATGACCTTTACAGTGGGCTCACTAACATAGACCTTGATGAACAATGGTTCTACCCCTGCAGGAATGATCATGTCAGCTGTTACAATATTCAGACTAATGAGAATGCCAAAACACCACAATTTCAAGACTATTCGTATGTGAAAACATGCTTTTCCCCACAAACAAGTTTTCTGGAAGCAGTAAAAGAATCGGGAGGAGATATTTATGCTACTTATGGAAAAGATAAAGTGAGTCCTAAGGGACATGATGCACAAATCCACCAAAAGAAAGCTGAGATGTTTCTTTCACAATTTAATAGATATGGTGAAAATACTGATTATTGTAGATACCTTGATTATTGTTATCCCAATAAAGTGAAGCATAATAAAAATACAAATTACATTGCCCAGGAGAGTAAAAAATTACCAACTGGAACACCTGAATTACCAGCCTTAGATACAGATAATTATAGCAAACTTTATCAAAATAAACCACCTATCCAAAAGAAAATGGAAGATATCACTTCAGAACAGCAGAATTTTATATTTCAAAAAACTACAGGACTCATGCCAGAAAAACCATTTGTGAGTGAAAATTCATTTACCCCTGACTTGACTTCAAAATCCGATTTTGTCCTCAAATCTCACAGTGCAGTAGCAGGGAGCGGTGATTTTGCAGGTGCAACAGAAAATTCAGAGTATTTCAAATCACTGAATATTTTATCAACAAACCTAGTAACTACTTCATCGTGCACAAATATAAGGCCAACATGGATCAACATACAAACTAAAAACAGTTCATCCACTCCTATTCGCAATCAAGGCACCTTGGTAAAGTTGAATAATAATTTATCTACTGGATCAAAAAGTTCCACTCAGTCTTATGACTTTCCTCAGTTGTCATCCACAAATGTAACTTTGAACAATAATTTGTTACTCCAGAAATACTGCCAAGACCCCCCAACAGTGTTTTCCAGTTTTGATTTCAATGACAGCAGTGCTGCAGACAGAGTTCAGTCTACCAGTCATACAGAAGGACTGAACAAGATAGGGGAGGAAGGCCTCTTTGAATCCATGATTGACAAAAAAATTAAGCCATCAAATGGTTTTTGTGATAACTATCCACAGCAATATGGGATCACTGAAAATGTGAGCAAGCACGGTTTTCAGGTTAAGCCACAGAATGGGCATTATGAAGCAGAGGAAGGGCAAAAACCAGATGGATTGTCACAGAATACCTATCAAGATTTACTAGAGTCTCAAGGTCATTTCAGTAGCCACAGGCAGGGGAGTGGAGACAATAATATTGTCAGTAATCGTGTGAATCGCACTCAGGCTTCTTGTTTTTCAAACAATTTCATGATGGGTGATTTGAGGCATAGTCCAAGTGTCCCCCAGTTTAGTTCAAACAGACTGCCTTTGAAATCTACCCATGCTTTTGGACATTCTGTAATTCCCCTGATGGAATCCTATGATTTGTTCTCCTTTGATGATTTAAGCCACTTGTATCCTTATTTTAATGATATGATGTATGGAGACAATTGTTTCACAGGCTTCATGCCAACATTTGGATTTCAAAGACCAGTGAAAACTCGGAGTGGATCAGCTAGTGAGCTTCATATTAGATTAGAGGAATGTTATGAACAATGGAGAGCTTTGGAAAAAGAACGGAAAAAGGTAAGAAAGAATTCTGTACTGTATATTGAAAGCAAGTACTGTACATTAGAAAGATTATTGTTAACATTATGTTATACTGTCAGCTCTAAAATTTCTGCCATACTCAATTGGGGCCACAAAACAGAAACCAGGATGAGACTTGTTAAATATGAGCAAGCTTAATTATCAGGTAGGGTCACCATAATCTTGTATGCATTTTACTGGAAGTAAGCACCATTGAACTCAGTAAGGCTTAGCTCTGGAAAGGCATGTGTAAGATTATACTGTTAGTCTCCAACATAAATTACAAATAGTAATTCTTCTTTGCTGTCAAATAGTTTTCTTCTTTGCTTTTCGTTATGCAAGTGAGTGACAGCTATTCCTTTCTATGGGAAGGAATAAAGCATTGCTCCTGGGAACAGTTGCCATGTCATTTGCTTTTCTCTCAGTTGTTGGGTTGTCTTAGCACCACTAAAATGAACACCACAGGAGGTTACAAACATACAGTGGTCTTCCAGTACAATCATGGTGGAAAATATTGGCATCCTTGCAGTTCTGTTAGAAAATGCAACTCTCCTCTCAGAAAATTGTTGCAGTTGCAAATGTTTTGGTACCCACATTTATTTATTTATTTATTTGATTTATATCTCACTCATCTGGTCGGATTGACCACTCTGAGCGGCTTCCATAACAATATACAATAAAGCATTAAAAATTATTACAAATAAACAACACCACATATAATAAAACAAAAAATAAATAGAAAGAAAAAGAAAATTAAGTATTGACAGGAGGGAAGGCCTGAACATATAACCATGTTTTTAGCTGATTCTTGAATGTGCCCAGCGTAGGGGCCGCACGAATCGCTGGAGGAAGGTTGTTCCAGAGGCGAGGAGCCACCGCCGAGAAGGCCCGATTTCGTGTTCTTTCCTTCCGGGCCTCCCTCGGTGTTAGGCTCCTCAGCCTCACCTCCTGGCTCGTGCGGGTGATCCGGGTAGATCTAGGTGTTCATTTCTTTGGTTCGCGTTGGAACAACACAAAAAAACTAGAGAAGAAAAGTAAAATCTGATACAATCCCATACAGAAACCCAAAAATGCACTGGCCAAAAATATTTACACCCTTAAGTTAATACAGTGGTGCCTCACATAGCGACGATAATCCGTTCCGAAAAAATCGTCGCTATACGAACAAAACAGCCCATAGGAACACATTAAAACACATGTGAAAATCCTCCATATAGCCACCATTTTCACTGCCCGATAAGCAAGGAAAGGGCGCAAAAACACAGCAGGCGGCCATTTTCTTTACCCGAAAGCCATTTTGGAGCCGCTGATCAGCTGTTGGAAAAACATCGTTATGCGATAATCGGTAAGCGAAACGCTTACCGATCATTGCAAAGCGATGTTTTACCATTTAAAACATCGTTATGTGATCACAAAAACGATCGCAAAAACTCAATCGCTATGCGGATTTGTCGTTAAACGGGGCGCTCGTTAAGCGAGGCACCACTGTATTTGGTAGTACTCCCTTTGGAAAAAATAACTGAAATCAGTCGCTTTCTGTAACCATGAATGAGTTTCTTACATCTCTCTACTGGAATTTTGGATCACTCTTCTTTTGCAAACTGCTCCAGGGCCTTCAGATTTGAAGGATGCCTTTTCCCAACTGCTGTTTGGAGATCTCTCCATAGGTGTTCTATGGGATTCAGATCTGGACTCATTGCTGGTCATTTCAGAACTCTCCAGGGCTTTGTATGTAACTATTTCTTAGTGCTTTTTGAAGTGTGTTTCGGGTCATTGTCCTGCTGGAAGACTCATAACCTTTGGTGGAGACAAAGCTTTCTGACATTGGCCATTACGTTGTGTCCCAAAATTCTCTGGTAATCATCAGATTTCATGATACTGTTCACATAAGGCATCCAGTGCCACAAGCAGCAGAGCAACCCCAAAACATCTTTGAACCATGTTTGACTGTAGGGACTATGTTCTTTTCTTTGAATGCCTCATTTCTTTTTCTGTAAACAGTGCCATGTTATCCTTGACTAAAAAGCTCTACTTTTGTCTCATCTGTCCACAGTACGTTCTCCCAGAAGGAATGTGGTTTTCTCGCATAAGTTTTGGCATACTCTAGTCTTGCTTTTTCATTCCTTTGTGTCAGTAGTGGTGTCCTCCTGAGTCTCCTACAATAATGTCCCTTTTCATTCAGATGGTGACGAATAGTGCGAGCTGACACTGTTGTACCCCCTGTGTTTGCAGATCAGCTTGAGGTTGGGAAGTTAATCTGGGTTCTGTATCCACTATTCAAACAACCCTTTGTTGTAATTTTTCAGTAATTTTACTCTTCTGTCCATGTCCAGGGAGGTTAGCTACAGTGCCACGGGCTGTAAATCTCTTGATGATATTGTGCACAGTGGACACAGGAACATTAAGATCACTGAAGATGGACTTGTAGCCTTGAGATTGTCAATGTTTTTCCACAATTTTTCCCTCAGATCCACAGACAACTCTTTACACTTCATTCTTTTCTCCATGCTTAGTATCACACACAACACAAAGGTTGAGTCAACTTTTCTCCATCCTAACTGGTTACAAGTGTGATTACTATATTGCCCACACCTCTTACTTGCGACAGGTGTGTCTACAAATTAAAGGAACATCACATTCTTGAAAAGCAGTTATTTCTTACAATTTAGACAGGGTGCCAGTAATTTTGGCCAGTGTATTTTTAGGTTTCTGTGTGAGATTGTATCAGATTTGACTGTTCTCTTTTGTGTGTGTGTGTGTTCCAACGCAAACCAAAGAAATGAACAGGTGAGTACTAAAACATTTGCAACTGCAACAATTTTCTGAGAGAAGGGTTGCATTTTCTGACAGAATTGCAAGGGTGCCAATATTTTTGGCCATGACTGTAGTCCTCCTTCTGCACTATGCCCTTCATGACAGGCATTTTGATAGTATTATTTAGATCCAATTTGTGTCTCACGGATATAGAAGAACACTAGGAAACAGTATGTGAAAAATTAGGAACATGGGAAGATGCCTTCTACAGAATTAGACTATCCATATGGCTCAGTATTCTTTGCTTTGAGTGGTCGTGTATTGGGGGATTGAGACAGGAGTCTTTCCTGAGTCGAACCCTGAGTGGAGGTACCAAAATACTAGACATTTGCATACAATTCATTTGCTATGCCTCTTTTTATGGCCTTGCTGAAATAACGTATCTCAGAGAAAATAATGGCAATGTCTCATATGAAGTGAATACACAGGATCATTTAGATGTTTCTATCTTTTACTATATGTAGTGTATCATAGCTCAATCACACAGTTATGCTTAAGAAGTGTTTTTTGTTGTTGCCTGTCTGATAATTCTTACATTTGGATAGCACTTCTGTCAGTTCAGCTAGACAGTTCACAGACAATACAATAAAAACATGTGCACAGCAATATACACACTATTACAAAATAAAATATAATAGTTCTCTTTGTCTCTGCATGAGAGTCACTGAAAAGTTGCATTTAAGATACTGACCCTATTTATTTTACCTTTTACTTTTGCTTCTTGCCTCTCATTAGCAGTTTTAAGTGTTTCTTCCCAAATCCATCTTTTAACTTCAGTAATTGTCTTTTTGCATTCTCCCTGATATCTAATAGAAATGGACAAGAATAGCCAGTTTGGTGGTTTATGACAGTTTATTGGACGAACAGGTGAGTAGCACTTCCCAGTCTTGCCTCCTCTGGCAGGTGCCCACTCAGGAAGCAGTACCCAGAGGAGGCAGGGCAAAGAAGCCAGACCGTTGCCTTTGAGTGGGTGCCTGCTGGAGGAGGCGGGGCTTTGAACACCTGTTTGGCTGATAAACTGCTGAATCGATGTTTTGTGCCCATCTCTAATATCTGCAGTTTCAACCTACAGTTCCTCTGGTTCAGTTGAGTTTAGTAATGCAAATCTGTTTAAATTCATCAGAAATGTTGTCTAAATTATATTTTGGCACTAGGATTCTTTTAGTTCTCTTCTTGAGCTTTACTCTAATGTTTGATATTAACAGTTCATGATCAGTACCACAGTCTACTTCTAGTCGTGTTACAGCAGAGAGGATATACCTTCTCTATCTCCTGTAGTGTATTAGATTTCTGTATTGGCCATCTGGTGAATTCCATGTTTACTGTTAGGTTGCTTGAAGCATGTATTTGTGATAAACAGATGGTTGGCTTCACAGACCTCTATGAGTCATTCTTCTGCTTTGCTTCTGACCTCTAGGTCAAATTTTGCAACAGTGTTTGGTTCTGCTTTGTTTCCTACTTTTGTGTTCCTGTCACCTATAATTATAAGCATATTTTATTTTCAAGTGTTATCAAATTTTTCCTGGATGCTTGCACAAAAGCTTTCAGTTTCATCTTCTTCAGTATCTGTATTTGGAGTATAGACTTGAATGACGGTTATATTCATATGTTTTTCCGGAATTCTGATGGATATTATTCAGCCAGACATTATATTATTGCCCCTAATTGCCTGTGCTACGTCTTGCTTCAGTATTAGAGTCACTCCATTGCCTTTGAGTTTGTCATTTCCATTTGTGGTTTTCTATGGGAAAATGTCAGGTTCTAGATCTATGGGAAGGAGACATTGGAGAATGGTTTAATTCCTTTCTCAGTCCAATCCAGGCAGGAGTGAATCTAGAAGAGCATAACAGTCATGCTCCACAAGCTCCTCCCAGTTTTCCTCTGCCTTTGCCCAGAATAGGCCTTACTTCTTGCTTTTTTCTTTTTTCTCACTTCTCTGAGTAAAATGATCTCCCCTTCCATTTTTGCCAAGTAGATGTATCTTAGTCTGATGTTTCAACAGTGAACATTCTGCCTGTAGTGGAGTCTAGCCTTCTGACTCTCTGACATACACAAGTCCACTCACCATATTAAGGTGTGTGTCCAAGAAAAGGAGGGAAAGTATTCTTATAGTAATAATGTTTATGTTTACCATGCTGTGAAGTATAAACATATTTTATAAAATTAAGTAATAATATCTGATAATCAAACTTCAAAGCTACTTAGATTTACAACCCTTCATATTGTTTAAGTTATTGGAAGACAGTTGTATACAGTGGTGCCTCGCTTAACGAGTGCCTCATTTAGCGATGAATTCGCATAACGACGTGTTTTTTTAGAAAATAATATGCACCGTATAACGATGTTTCCTATGGGCGATTTTCGCTTACCGAAGTTTGGGACCATGCTTCGCATAACGAATGCGATTTAGGTCCCCTGCTTCACTTAACGATGTTTATTTTTTCAATTTAAAAAATGTCTTAGAAGGGTCAAAAACGGTTCTAATTGCTTGGATTCGTTAGAGGACCCCCTAAGTCGTGTGCAAACCTGATTTGGCTTTGATCTGACTTTTCGTTAATTTATGGTGAATTTTTTT